AAATTCAAAACAACAAAATACTAACTGTAAACGTTTCCCATAAAAGCATTGAAGCCAAGTGCATGCATGCACCTGTCCAACTTACAACAAAAGGGTGACCAAGTTCCAGGATAAAGGGGTGTCCAAGATATAGGGTATTGTGTATATGTAAAATTATAGGATATTTGCCGGTTCCAATTAAAAGTGTCCAATATAGAGGGGTGTCCAGGATATAGGGGTGTCCAACTAGAGGGGTTTTACTGTACTAGCGTCGTCAAATACCCGTGATTTTAACATCTGTACCTTTACAACCTTGAAAAATATACCACTTGTTTCAATATCGTTTATGCGTAAACATTTGTGTTATAATTAAATATTTTAAAGGAGTGTAGGGGTCATTGCTTCTTTCTGTAGCTTCCGTAACTTTATCACGAAAATGTAAATAAAGTTTTGCCGGAAATGTTATATATTGGCAATAGAGGTCTTTAACATTACCTTCGTCAAATATCACCGCGATATTCGACGGATCACAAACCACTTCACACATTCCACCACGATCTTTCCACTATAGGCCACAGTATGTGGACGTAAGCGGTTGTGCGCTATTTTAAGGCTTCTCTGTTATTCCAGGATATGCCTGGAGAGAAATTAAACCACTTAAAAAGCCGGGCTACAAGCCGAGACTCAAAGATGGGACTTTCAGACCTTTGAAAAATAACTGTTAACATTTCTTTTAGCACCGCATTTGCGTGTTAAACTTTAGTCATCCATTACAAGAACTTGCATTTTCAATTTCATTCGCGCAAGGCACATTGCCCCCTGGTGTTAGAAGCAGGTGATGCATGGACGCAGAAGAAACCGTGTTGCATGTTTGTTGTGTGGTAATGGACGGAAATCAATCATTACTTTACATTCAAGGTCGTCTCTCCTTTCCACTTTGTCTTACAGGTATAACCTGTGATAAATCTTTTGTCATTGTCTTCCAAAGCCTTCAGTTTTCCAAAGTAGAAAGGAAATTATCTTAACCCTATGAAGTACAACATTCATTTAAATAATATTTAAAAATTCAGTTTGTGCGTTAAAGAAAATGTAAGTGTCTCTATTACAGAGATCAGCTGGTTA